GGGGGATTTTCTTGAAGTCGTACATCAGAAATAGCCCTGCCAGCTCATCAACTCCGATCCAGAAAGAGCTAAGAAGACACGGCACTTGGATGCTCATGGGCTGAGAAGTGGAAGCAAGCCCACTTGGGGGGCAGAAGGGCAGCGTCAGGTGCACAGACCCCAGTGGAGAGCATGCCTTGTCCCCCAGGGAAGGAGGGGCCCCCTTCACGGACTGGGTGGGCCAGGGGCCCTCCCCACAGCCCCTCCCAAAGAAAAACTCTCTTTACTTGCAGGTCTCTGAAGGACTCCTCAGCCACTGCCTCGTGGGCTTTGTGACAGCCCAAGGAGGGAAGCAGGGGCTGGTGAGGAGGAGGGGTGATTCTCCCCTAATGGGCAAGGAAATTTTGGACCCACCAGCCTCCATGATCAGGTGATCCAACCCTTTCTACTCCATCTCGTTCTCTCTATGCACACATCCTATTGTTTCTGTATCTCTGGAGAACCCTGAGATCGTCTCCAACACCCCTCCCCATCCCATCTGCTTACTATCGTAAGCGGAGGGTTGAGACAGGGACTGGAAGCCCAGGTGCCCCAAAATATTGACTAGTTGGTCTTTCATGGACCAAGTTTGCCGATCCCTGCTTTCATTTAATCTTATCACTGTTTTTCTAATTCAGATTATTCTCACCGTTTTGAAGCTTTCTTGGGAAAAATCGGAGGGGAGTCGCTCCCCTCCCCGAGCCTCGGCTTCTAACTTCTTGTCCATGAGGGGGCTGTATCACCCCCTGCCCTGCGCCAGGGCTGCCCCAGCGACACAGAAGTCCCCTCTCCCACCCAGGCCCCAGAGTTCCTGGAGAGGGAAGGGACTGCCTGCCTGCCCTCTCATCTCCTCTCGGTGATATTTCTATATTGTAGTCAGAGGGCTCAGAGGATTAAAAAGCCAGCATGGAATAATAATGGCTTGATTTAACATTGCAATTATCTCTCCCAGCACTTTATCGCATATGATTATCCCTATTTGATAGCAGAGGAAACGGGAAAAGGTAGGAATGAAGTCACTTGTTTAAGGTCACATCATGAGTCAGGAAGGAAGTGGAGACCGAGCTGGGACCTCCCACACCCAGGCGGTGACTCGAACTGAGGAGATGGCGTTTCAGTGACCCTCCAACCACCTGCCCCATGGCGGCTGAGGGGCGTGCCAGGCCCGTGGCCTCCTGTGGCCACTACGGGGGCAGCCACAGGCTTAGGCGGGAAGGGTGAGGACCAAGGGACCAAGGGCAGGCACGGCTGAGCTGGGCTCTCTGAGTCCGTAGCATCCCTGCCTGGCCCAGCTACAGGGCCAAACTCGCTTTCAGCTCCATTACTGCATGTTCGCCCTCAGGAGAATCCAGGAGGCTGGCGCGATGAGCCTCATTTTCCAGATGGGGAAAGAGAGTCCCAGAGAGGCAAGATCACCAGGTCAAGGCCGAGAGGCAAGGACATAGCAGAGGCAGGCTTGAAAGTCAGTCTGCAGCTCCACCCACAAACAGTCCCTGAGGCGTGGGGTCACGTTAAATGTCCTCCCACCAAATTCTCATGTTCCTGGAGATGAGACTGTTTCTGGAGTTTTACCACCACCACCACCCCCACCTGAAAACATATAAAGTTCACCTTTGAGGGTCTTCAGGGGCTGGCAAAGGGAGATCCTGAAAAGTGGAGGAAGATGTTCCTGTGAGGCCTTTAGGGTCATTAACAAAGAATGGATTATCACCTGGGGGGGATGGGGGGCTCGGATCCTGGATGGAAAGTGAACCCACCGTGTAGTCTGGCAAGAATCAAACAAAGCACAGAACATGTGGGATGGGGGCCCACGCACAGGGCCAGCCCTCTCTCCTGGGCCATTTGCTGTTCGAGGACCAGAGTGAAACAGGGCCCTGCACTCCGTGGTCATGGGGGTTATTCACTTTGTTTTTAAAAGAATGATTCTTAAGAGCAGGAGTCACATGAAACCCCCGCCCTTTGTTATTTGACGCAATTAAGGGATGAGGAGAAAGGCAAAGGAAGATGGGTCAGAGAGAGAGGGGGATAGAGATGCAGAAAGAGAGACAGAGACAGAGAGGAAGACAGAGACAGAGAGAAGCACGTGTGCCAAAGAGTAGCAGAGACCCTTGTGCACAGAGAAAGAGATAAAGACACCAGAGAAGCAGAGAGATGGCGCAGAACAGAGAGGGAGAGGTGTAGGACCAGAGGGAGAAGGTACAGGAGGAACAGAGGAGCGGGGGAGGGGAAAGAGGAGGAGGGGAGGGAACAGAACCAGAGCCAGTAGACTTGGATTCAGCGCATTGACCTACTGTGTAATCACAAACACCAGTTCCTCCTCCTGCCAGTGGACCAGGGAGCCAACCGCATAATAACTGCTCACTAAACCCTTCTCAGCTTAAACTAACTGTCCGATGACAGGTCAAAGAGCCAAATGACGGCGGATAAATATGGTGAACAGGCCTGGAGCCTCCCACTCTGGCCAGGGGGACAGCTGGATGGCCTCAGGGAGAAGCCTCCTGAGCCCAAGGCTGTGCCTTGTGGATCTGGGCCATTTACCCTCCTGCCAGAAGCATCAATCTGGACCTGGGCTGGGAGGGAGGGATTAATGAGGCCCAACATCAAAGGACCCAGGACCCCGCTCCATCTCCAGGGCCTGATCCTGGGCTTACTGAGTGTCTCCAGAAATATTTACTGCCCTCCACAATGGCCAGCCCTGTCTCAGTGAAATCATTTTAGCCCTTTGTCCGACGCAGTGAGATTAACCAACATTTATGGGCTGAGATGAGCGAAAACGGTGAGAGAAATCAGCTAGCCAACTGCACCTTCTCAGACACGCGTTGAAATCAAACCAACTATTGATCCCACTTAGAATGATGGAAGACATCTAATAAATACAAAAATTGTACAAGAATGGCCCAAGGAGGTAGGCAGCGGTAGGGGGGCCAGGGAGGATCGATCAGGAAGAGACTTCCTGATCCCGAGGCAATAGATGAAGAAATGGTCTTCTCTTGGTGTGGAGAGGACAGGATTGGGAGGGGAGGGGAGTGCCGGCCCCACAAACTGAAATACCAGATGTATTTCCTGGACGTAAGGCACGGCTCGATGGTGTGGGGGTGATGAAGACTGAGGGGGCAGGGGTCCAACTCTGCTGCTTTGGACAGTGAGAACTTGAACAGGTACTCTAGCATTTATTGAGTACCTACTGAATGCCAGGCAAATTACAGTATCCCATGGGAGTCTCACAATAACCTTTGGAGGTGAATACTATTACTAGTACTGCGTGGATGAGGATATGAACACTCGGCTACTGTCCCCAAATCACACAGCAAATGAGTGGTGAGACCTGGGATTTGAGCCCAGATCTGGGTGATTGTGAGACACACATTTAGACAATATACGGACCATTCCTGGCTCCCAGGAGTTATCTCAAGACCCGAATCCCCGTCCGTTTGCTTTATGATGATGGCAAATTTCTCAAATAGCTCCCGAGCCAGTCCCTTTGCCTGCTCTGCTAAAACATGCCGGGTTCCTTGGGAAGCACGGCGACATCTCACTCCCAGCTGCAAGCGGGGACACAAGATTTGCCTGCCACCCATCACACCTCTAGCTCATCTGGAGCAAAGCAGTGGGCTTGAGATCCCGTCAGCAAACGCAAACCTCCCCCAGGCAGCGCAGCTCACCCTTGGGCTGCTGCAACCGCTCCCCCACGCAGATCTCAGTGCCTGGAGATAAATGACCTGCAAAAATAGAACAAAAGGCAAGGTGGAGTGGGATTGAGGGGAGGAAGAAAGGGGGAAAAGAGAGGGAGATGTGGCGGTGGGAGGGGGAGGCCAGGGGTTGGCATTCTGAAACATTTGCCATGGATCTTGACTGGAACGCCTGTCAAATTAGAAAGACTTGTATATTTTATCAACCCTTGGAAGAAAGATGGTAATGAAGACTTTCAGTCTGTGGGAAGGGAATTGAAATCAGATCCAATAACCTGAAGAGCTTGTTTCCCCTGAGAAGGTTGGAGGCTTAATTAAGGAATGTTTGTAAAGCTTGGAGAGATTCTAGATAAAAGATACCCAGGAAAAAAGTACGAGGTCACAGAATTTACTATTCAACCTCCGTGTCGTCACCAGACTTCCACCCCCCACACCGCCTTTTTTTTTTTTTCCCCCTTTCTCTGAAGCTCACCAGCTTTTTTGCTGGAGTCAAACTTTGGGATTCTATAATACTTTCCTTGAATAAGGATTATCTTTACCAGGGAGCAAATCACTTTCCCATCTGAGCTGCTTCTTCCCTGCCCAACTTGGCTATGATTTACATGAAAGCAACAAGTCCTTTCAAAGTAAAATTGACAAGAAAAATCCTGCTAAGCCTGAGTCTCTCTGCATGCTGTCACTCTTTCCCCATTCCCTCCCACCAAAATAGCCCCAAACTTCATTTCTGTGTAAATTATGTCAAAGGAAACCACTTAAGCCAGCACCCTGTCAGCAATTAAACAGGATCCAAAAAAGAATGAGAAGGCTGAACTTGGTTGTACATTGATGTACATGATACCTGGTAAATGCCAGAGCCCCGAATCTCATTAACGTTCCCCCAGACCTTGTTGTCTAAGTCCGGTGAGAATCAGTGACCTTTAAAACCGCCCTGGGTGGCTAAACTCACTTCTTCCACCCAAGGTATCCCATCTTCACATGGGAACCGTGTATGCCGACTGCTGGGGAAGAAGAAGACCCTGGAGCTAAAACCAAGGGGTGGTCCTCTTGGGGGAGAAGAACCCTTCCACCTATTTAAGCCGGGGCTGCACCGAGGGGGGATTCCGAAGAACTGTCCATCTCACACGGACGGATCTGGCGTTTGTAAACTAGCTTCATAACTGTGACTCTATCTGCTGGATTATCAGACCCAGACCTGAAATCCCCCAGCCCGAGCTCCTACCACCTCCAGGTCCAGAGGACCAGGAAAAACAGATATAATCAAAAGAGAGATTCCCATGCCCCTCCGGATATTACCTGTGCTCTTCTTTGTCCCTGGGCAGCTTCTGGCTGAGCAGATCGGAGGGTGGTGGCAGGTGGCTGGGTCAGGACTCAGGCAGGGGTCTCCCTGACTCTGGCTTGGAAGGAGGTGCCAACGAGGCGGCTGTGAGCATCACCAAAGCCCCTCAGAATGGCAGTTCTGGTGCCTCGCCCCCCCCTTTTATGGACTAGAGCCTCCCCGAGTCGCTCAGCCCTTGCTGAGCACCGGCTGCTGGGAGCCAATGGGGAAGCAGCTCAGAGCAGTCAAAGGAGCAGACCCCCGGGCCCTTCAACTCCAACTCCCTGGGCCCCACACAATAGGCTTCTCTTCGTGACAGGGGATGTGGAGGAGGAAGGCAGCCGTGCAGGGAGGGGGCTGGATCCTGGGTGTAGTGCTGTTTGTCACTTGAAATCCGGCCACTTCAGTCTTTGATGCGTTTCCAGGAGAGTGTCACAGAAAAAAGAGAGAGAGAGAGGTAGGGAAGGACAGAGACAGAAAGAGTTGGAAAAAGAGACACAGAAAGAAAGAGATGGGCAGACAGAGAGATACAGAGACAGATGGAGACACAGAGAGAGAGAGAGTCAGACAGATCTGGAGACAGACAGAGGGAGTCAGACAGATCTGGAGACAGATGGGGACAGAGAGAGAGAAGCAGCGAAACAGAAGATTCAGAGAATCAGAAAGAGAAGGAGACACTGTCAGAGAGATAGTGTGTGACACAGACGAGAAAGAGTTGGAAAAACGGAGAGACGCGGAGTGCCAGAGATGGAGCCACCCAGAGAGACGGGGGAGACGCAGGGAGTCAGAGGAGGAGAGAGAAGGAAACTGGGCAAGAGGACAGGCTCTGAGCCTACAGGGATCTAGAGACAGCGGAAGAAGCAGAGAGCCCCCCGACGAGGGAAGCGACGAGAAGGGGGGCAGCCGGAGTCGGTGCCGTGTGATGTGGCGGGAAGAATGTGCTGGAACACTTCTGTGTGCAGACTTGCCTGCACCCACTGCCGACTCTGGGACATGCCTGGGCTGGTGCCAGGCACAACCAGCCCTGGCAGGAGCTCAGCCCTTCCCCGGCAGCCAGGAGCTGCAGTTTACTTTTCTCTGGTGGCAACACAAAATGAATACCATGAAATCCCCCTCAAAACATGGGCTCCGATGTGCCTTTGCCTGCATCCTGGGTGGGGGGGCATCCCTACTTCCTGGGAGCCCTCGGCCCATGCCAGCAGCAACTTGAAGGTGGGGGGAGGTCTCTGAGTTTGGAAAAGAACATGCTTCTCCTCTCAGTCAACAGCAGACAGGCAGTTTGGGGGGGGGGAGGCACGTCTGTTTCAGAAGCCTGGCAGGGGCTGCCCATTCCCTGGGCACCGATGCTGGGCCAGGCGCTCAGCCAAAGCCGTCGGGTTGAATCCTCACCACCTGGCCAGGTAGTGAATATTATCCCCATCTTGCAGGTGAGGAAAAAGAGGTTTCAGAGCGAAGAAACGTCCCCAGAGACAGACAGCCAGTTAAGTCATCAAGCTAGCTAGGAACAGACACAGGCTTATCTGACTCCAGAGTCCCCCGCTCACTCCCTCAGCCCTCCTGGGTGCGAAGGCTCCAATCTGCCAACGCTGAGGGGTGGGGGCCCAGGGCTGCCCTCTCTGGGGCTGTCTCTCTCCACCCCCCCTTCCCCTCCCCGCCTCGTCCAAGGTAGGACAGGGCTGTGGCTCAGAATATTAGAGACATGGTTTGCTTCCTGGCTCTGCCAGCTCACAGGTGGAGAGACCTTAGACAAGTTTCCAACTTCAGTTTCAGTTTGCTTATCTGTAAAATGGGGATAACGGTCTCTAGTTCGTTGGGCTCTTGTGGGGGGTGAAACAGAGGGTGTGGGCAGCATCACTTAATGCAGCCAACACTTAATGAGTGCTCCATCGCCATCTATCCTTGTGATTAATGCCATCATTCCCGCTCTGACACACCAGCGTTCTCCGTTCTCCAGGCGCTGGTCCTCTCCCTGCACCTGATTCATTACAAGGAGGAAGATGGAAGGAGCCGTCTGCTGGGCACCTACTATGTTCCACACACTTCCTCATGTTGCACTGTATCGTCACAACCAGCAGACGTGTGCATGGATGCCCCAGCCACACAGGGAGGGAGGAGAAGTTGAGCCCAGTCCTTTGGGCCCCAAAGCTCAGCTCTCCCCACCACTCCCCTCCAGCCTGGAGATGACATCTACCTCCTCCCTTTCAGAGAGGACTCTTCGGCATCCGAATTTGCCTTTCTTCTCCTCCTTGTCCGTGTTCTCAGGCAGCATGTGGGGTCTGATAGGCAGGTGCAAAGGACTTCGGATGTCAGTGTGGAAGCCCCCGTCCCCAGCGTCCGATGGCCACGGCCCAGGCTCAGTGAGTGCCTGGCCACACATCAGGCTGGCTTCCGGCCAGGGGACCCAGAGGACTTGGGTGGAGTCGACTCACTGCCACCCCGGGGATCTGGGAGCCTGGGGCTGCAGCTGCTTCTTCTTCCCTAAGCCCAACTTCATCCCCAGTCTCTCTCCAGCCTCCTTATTCTTCACATCGTGCTCAGCCTCCCCACCTCTACCTCTGTAAGCTCTTGGTAATAACCTTGGGATAGACAAAGGCTCTAAGAGATGGGGTACAACAGCTCCCATTCCTGGGAGTCAGCTGGCACCCGAATAGAGGAGTAGGGGCCTCTCTTGACCATTGTTCATCATAAAGAGGAGTAAGTAAGGACAGCAAGGGCAGAGACACTGCGGATAATCCCGATTCACACCATCAGGGTTTGGCATCCTTCACCCCTGGAGCCTATTGCGAGCCTCGAAAACAAACAGTTTATTCATCTGCTTTTCCTTTCCTTCTGCAGCGTCCTGTATGCGCATGCGCAGGACAAGGCCAGGAACAGCTTTCTCCCACAGTCCTAGAGAAGCTTGTTGTAAAGCTCACCCCTCTCCCAGGCTCAGTGAGGCTCGGGATCACGCCCCAGCCCCATGGGCAGTGGCACGTGGGTTGGGGACCCATGGAATCGCAGACTGGCTTGGGCTCAAACCCCGATGTTCCTACTTATTCACTGCGTGGCAGCTGATGGGTCCCTCGCCTCTCCGGGCTCCTGAGTCATCTGAAGAGAGGCGGACAACACTACTCCACGCAGACGTGGGGACTAATTCCAAAGCTCTGTCATACTCGCTTCCCTGCATGACGAGGCTCTAATTCGGATCTCGAAGTGGGCCAAAAGCAAACACTGGAGAGAAGAAAATATTTGCAACAACCAGCCCTTCAATCATTCTGTTAGGAAGGAACAAGCAAGAGCTTGGCAGAGGACTAGCAAGGAGAGCCAGCATTTTCTTAAGGCCTTCCCCCCGTGCCAGGCCCTGGGGCGAACCGTTCAGTTAGCGCCACGCCCGATTTTCCCAATACCCCTGCAATCAGCTGCACGCCGTAGCCCCACTTTACAGATCGGGAACAGAGGCTGCGAGAGGGTAAGCCGTTGGCACGGAGCCTTGCGGGGGGGCACGTGGCAGAGCACAGCCTGAAACCAGGCCGCTGGGTCCCGGGTGTGTGCCCCAGGCACGGGTCCTATTGCCTCCCAGCGTCTCTCCGCCCTGCTTGTGTCTCATCTCAAAGCCCTGTGTATTTTCTCTCTTCACCTGTTGCACTGGGAACGTAGGGGCAGCTGACCTGGATCACTCCGGAGCACTTGGGTGGGATTCGGTGCCTGTCTCCAGCTGGCTTCGCGTCCCCTGGCTGCTCTCGTGCCGCCGCACGCATGCGCTGCTGGAGTCCTGTCTGCGCCGGGCTGCCACGGGATCGGGGACCAGGAAGTCAGAAGGGTCCCCCTGCTCAATCTCTCCGTCTCTGTCTCCCCCCTCCCCCTCCCTGTCTCTCCTACTTTCGTATCGAAATGTCACCGTGAACCACTCTGTGCTTGGCCCTGAGAGGAAGTATGCCACACCCAACTGTGTCTCTTTGGCCTCATGGTCCAGGGTGGGGGGCGATGGAGGGGCAGGAAGTGCCCAGCAGTGTGATGAGGACCCGGCTGGGAGGGGACCTGGAGTTCCATGGGGACACAGAAGAGGGGCTCCCAGCCCAGCCAGGGGTGGGGTGGGGGGAGGAAGGGAGGAGGGGAAGGAGACAGGAGGACAGGAGAGCTAAGTGAGAAATGATTGGGAGTAGGAGTTGTCCAGGCAAAGGGGAGGAGAGGACGTCCAGACAGAGGGAACAGCTCAGGGGAAGACGGAGAGGTAAGGAGAGTAGAGGAGGATGTTATCCCCCAGAGGACTCATGCTTGACTCCCCTTGTCAAGTTGTCTCGTCCGCAGCCAGAGAGATTGTTTTAAAAATGTACCTACAGGGGCACCTGGGTGACTCAGTCCATTAAGCATCTGTCTTTGGCTCAGGTCATGATCTTGGAGTCCTTGGATTGAGCCCCATGTTGGGCTCCCTGCTCAGCAGGGAGTCTGCTTCTCCTTCTCCCTCTGTCCCCATTTGTGTGTGTGCGTGCTTTCTCTCAAATAGACAAAACCTTTAAAAAAATTAAAAAATAATAAAAATAAAAATGTACCTCTGATTGTGGTACACCCTTGTTTAAAACACTCCAGTGGTTTTCTTCAGCTTGGAAGAAGCTCCACTTTCCTTACGTGCAGGACCCGCTCTCCGCTGACCCGTCCCCAATTTACTGCTTCTGTGAGGCACCTGGAGCAGGCGAACTAGCAGAGACAGAAAGGGAAACAGATCACCAAGGGGCACTTATTGCTTAAAGGGCACAGAGTTTTTGTTTAGGGTGATGAAAACATTCTGGAAATAGGCAGCAGTGATGGATGCACAACATAATGAATATCCTTAAGACCGCTGAACTGCACACTTTTAAATGGTTAAAAATGGACGGCAGGACAGATGGAAGAAGGTGTCTATTTTCCTAGTTGAGGAGAGCTCTTGGGTAACAATGGGGGAGAAAGCAGTTGTTCTTCTCCTAGCCAAGAGACGCAGGCCAATGCCAACAGTGGATTTGATGAACTGGAATTGGAGAGAACTTCCCACACCCGGAGTCTGTCCTGACTTCTGCCACCAGTCAAACAAGAGTTAAATGGTGGGAAATGGTTTTGCCCAAATGAAGAAGAGACGAACCTTCCATCTCCAATCACCCAAATCTTATCACAGCCACCATATATCCAGGTTCCACCAGGTGTTAGGCATGTCTCCTAAACCACCACAGGGCCCCTCACAACCACCCTATGATGTAGAAACCATTAGGTCCCCTGTACAGATGAGCTCAGAGGAGTGCAGTCACTTGCCTAAGTTTGCACAGCCAGTAAGTAGTAGTAGAGCTGGGATATAAACCCATCTGTCTGTCTGGAAAGCCAGGGCACTGCACTCAGCATGCTGCCTCTCAAAAGCCTCCAGTTCTTACATTCCTCGGGAGCAGCCTGGGCACCAGTAGGAGGACAGATCTACCAAGGGATTCTGTATATTTGATCTGAAATGGGAGCCTTGACACAAGAGCTTCTCCTCATCATCCCATAAGCTCCATGAGCTCCATCACCCCTAATAATAGCTCTTAATGAGAAGTGAGTTTCTTTTTGCCAAAGGGGGAGATTAAATTGCTTTATTCTCAGTCTGTGAATCTCACAGTTTCGCCTAAATCCTATTAAACTGGCAAGTTGCTACCTTTTCTGTATTCATTCCACAAAATGCTCACAGAGTACCTGCCATAGGCCTGGTTCTCTGCTAAACACCTAGGGGTACAGCTGAGAAGACTCAGCCCCTGCCATCTGGGGATCACAGTGGGTGGGGATGATAGAAAGGAAACAGTTAATTTCAGTACCATGTGGAAGAGTCTGAGATGGGGGTGACTGTAGAATCACAGAGGAGAGGTACCTCAGTCAGCCTAGCTGGTAAAGGTAGTCATCCGAGAGCTGAAGGCTGAGGCTAGGTTTTAAAGACCAAGTAGGAGTACGCCATGCTAATCGG